GGCCGCGGCGGCCGCCTCGGTGCGCCGGAGCCCCGGGCCCGCGCTGGCGCGCCTGGAGGGCCGCGAGTTCGAGTTTCTCATGCGGCAGCCCAGCGTCACCATCGGTCGCAACTCGTCGCAGGGCTCGGTGGACCTGAGTATGGGCCTGTCCAGCTTCATCTCGCGACGCCACCTGCAGCTCAGCTTCCAGGAGCCGCACTTCTACCTGCGGTGCCTCGGCAAGAACGGCGTCTTCGTGGACGGGGCCTTCCAGCGTCGCGGCGCGCCCGCTCTGCAGCTGCCCAAACAGTGAGTGCCGCGGCCCCCGCCCGGCCCGGGCCCCGGGTGCCCCCCCCCCCCCGCCCCGCCCCGCCCCGCCCCCCGCCGGGCCTGGGCCCGAGATCAACCCGACCCCCGGGGACGGCCCCGGGAGCCCCGAGGACCGGGCCCCGAGGGTCGCCCTTGCCCCTCCCCAAGCTGGACACCAGGGTCGCCCTCTCCCCGCCACCCTGTTTGGACCCGGGTCGGCGCCAAACGCACTCCCGAGGAGAAGGGTTGGCGTCAGGCGGTGTCGCTCCGGGAGGTGCGGGGTCCCTGGGGGCAGCGGCAGTGCCCCCGGAAGGCCCGAGCCCCCGGCCATAGGGGCCAGCTGTGAATTTGGGCCGGGAGGGGACGGCCGGAGAGTGGGCTGGGGTCGGGACAGGAAGTGCCCTCTCCTCAGTGGACCTGAGGACGCAGGTCTGGGGTCGCCAGCGCTGGGGGCGTTCACCGCACAGTTGGGGTTCCTGGGCAGGAGGAGAAGAGGCCGGGCGGGGAGGCAGGGCAAGGAGAGGGGGACCCGGCGCGCTTGGGGACAGGCCGCGATGCCCCACGGTGCTTTAGCAACATCCTCGTGTTCCCGGGCTCTTCCGGTTCCCGGGGCAGCTGCTCTGCCCCAGGAGATCTTGCTTTCCGGAGATATTTTGATCAGGAGAAAGCCTGTTTGGTTACTCATGCGGTCCTTAGGCACTTTCTTTTTCTGTGTAGTAGTTGCTTCTAGCTCCTCAGCAGTGTTTATATTTCTTCAGCGTGCTTGGGTTCCAGAGTTGTCTCTGACTAATTACTCTCGCTTTTATAAGCACCCTGGGTCCAGAGAGTTTTTGCCGGGGTGATTGCCTGTTTCTGTAACCATCTCCCCTTTCGAGGGTATTGGCACGTTTGGTTGTAAGTATTGTACTGAATACTTTTCAACATCAACGATGACTCACTGGTGTTCGGGGCGTGAGGGGTGGGGGCGTATACAGACTTTGTTCTCCAAACGTGAAAGGTGTGTGTGTATTTCTGGGCCCTTAAATGCATTCTGGGTCCAGTCCCTCACGGTGAGAAAGTGGCAGGTAAACAGCGCCTTCCCCTCCCTGCCCTTCCCCGCCCTGCCTGGTGGCTCTCAGAGGCCCGTTCTGCTCAGGCCTCTTTTTATAATTCAGGTTCCGTAAGGGCATCCATCCAGCAACCTTGTCTTCACAGTTCCCTGCCTAGCTGTTGAGAGGGTGCAGCCCCGAAGAGGCCCCAGCTTACCGAGTTTTGAATGCACTGGTCTTTTCTCTAACTCAAGGGTAGGACATTTCAGCCCGAGGAGTCCTCAGATCACGTGCGAGTACCGAGTCCCTTGTTTATGAAACGCGGTTGGTGTTCACGCTGCCTTCCTAGCCCGTGTAGCCAGCAGCCCAGATGTCCCCTGCCCTCTGGCTGGGGCTTTGCCCACGGTGCGCGTCTGGCTGGGTTCAAGTTCAGTGGTGCTCTGAACAACAGCCGCGCAGGCGGCGCTGGAGAATTTACAGGAACAGGAGAAACATGCTGGCGGAGAAACACCACGTGGATGCCCGTGTCTGCCCTCCCGGCAGAGGGCAGTTTGCTTCTGAAACCGTCAGAGCCCGTGGACAAACATGTTAGCAGTCCGAGCGGTTTTATGTTCTTTTTATTTGAGAAAACTAAACCTGTAGGTGGTAGCATCTGTAGGACAGGCTGTTGGAAGCTGCTTTTTAGAATTAGATCAGGGTGCTTTGGCCCACCACGTGGAGAGTAATCAAGAAATGCTAATGAATTCAGAGGAAGGAAATTGGACGTGTACGTTCTTGTCACCTCGAAATGGGAAATTCAGTGCTGACTTTCAAAGAACGGTAGCAGTTATTGTCTGTTTCCTCTCAGGCGTTGGTGCACAGTTTTGCCATGAGTCTTCGAAGTTGTGAATTTCTCCACCATAAATTCAGAGTTCTTATCCGTGTTTGAATTTTGTTGTGTGCATTTTGTGGCTACAGCTGCCTGAGACTTGGAGCTCTTCCTTGTGTTGTAGCGTTTCACCCTTTCCTGCCCTGTGAGGCCGCATCCCCCCTCCAGCGCACCCAGGGCACGGCTCCCCAGGCCGCCCCTCCCTTTCCACCCCGGACTCAGGGAAGCACTAGGTGGAGAGGAGCCCCAGAGTCCACCCACACTTGTGACTACAAGTAAGTTTTTCGAAAACTAAAATGAAATAATTTTGAAATTACTGGTAGGGAAAAAATTCCACATGACACAACTTAGAGCTGACCTTGATCCATGACTGTGGGTGCATGCAGAGGGAGGTGCAGCAGGTCCTGGTGTAGCCCCTCCTGTGCGATTCTCCGGCCCTCGTTCCCCAGGGCTGGGCTGGGCACTTTTTATCTTTAAGTGGAGACACAGCACAGGAGCTGGCTGGCAGTAGGTGTGCACAGAGGAGTTAACGTTTGTTGAATGAAAAATCCATGAGTGAATGTGCAGCTTCCCTGGAGGAGAAGCAGTGTCACCAACTTAGTGGGTTTCCCAGGTGGGTGGTCAGCAGGCCTTCCTGGGTCTGCAGGTGGACATGGTTCGTGTGTGTGACTGTAGGTCTTGATACCAGCAGATTTGGAGCTTGAATTAGATGTAATCTGTGAACTACAGGAAAAAGACCCATGCACAGCCTTGTACTTGCTCTTCCTTTCTTTCTTCCAACCTTCTTTCCTGATACTGTTATAAAATAAGCGTGGACTATATGAATAATTACAGTAAAAACTAGACTTCTGTTTGTGGTGGTTTCTGTGAGTGGTAAGATGTATGTGATTCTTTTCTTCTTTTTACTTTTCTTTGTGTCCCAAATTTTCTGGGATGAGCATGGCTCTTTTTTTTCTTTTCAACACTAATTATTACAGAAAGTTTCAAGCATAAAAACAGAGGAGTGAGTTCCATGTGCCCATCACCCAGCCTCTACAGCTACCATGTTGTGGCCAAGCTTGTTTCATCTTCGTCCCCACCCCCACCCCCGACCCCCAGGTATTTGGAAGAAAATCACAAATGTCCTATCACTCTATCTGTAAATATTTCAGTAAAAGGTAAAGATTCCTTCCCTTTTTAAAACCTAACCACAATGTCCTTATCACACCTAGAAAATTGATAACAATTTCTTACTATCCTCAAACTTCCAATGAATGTGGATTTCCCTCACCATCTCATGAATTTGTTCTTTTCTTTTCTTGCAGTGTGTTTGTTTAATCAGGAACCAAATCAGGTCCAGACACTATGATTGGTTGGCATATCTCTCACATCTCTCTCAATCTATAGGCTTCATCTCACTCTTTTTTTTTTTCTTTTCTCAATGAAGAAACAGGGTCATTTGTCCCGTACACTTTCCCACGGTCTCTTTTCTTTATTTCTTTTTTTTTAGTTTGCCGTGTTCTGAATTCTTTTGGCCATTACCTACACCAGGACTTTTTTTTTTTTTTAGAAGATGTTGGGGGTAGGAGTTTATTAATTAATTTACTTATTTTTGCTGTGTTGGGTCTTCGTTTCTGTGCGAGGGCTTTCTCTAGTTGTGGCAAGCAGGGGCCACTCTTCATCGCGATGCGCGGGCCCTCTCACTGTCGCGGCCTCTCTTGTTGCGAAGCACAGGCTGCAGACGTGCAGGCTCAGTAGTTGTGGCTCACGGGCCTAGTTGCTCCATGGCATGTGGGATCCTTCCAGACCAGGGCTCGAACCCGTGTCCCCTGCATTAGCAGGCAGACTCTCAACCACTGCGCCACCAGGGAAGCTCTTTTTTTTTTTTTTTTTTTTTTTGCGATACGAGGGCCTCTCACTGTTGTGGCCTCTCCTGTTGCGGAGCGCAGGCTCAGCAGCCATGGCTCATGGGCCCAGCCGCTCCGCGGCATGTGGGATCTTCCCGGACCGGGGCACGAACCCGTGTCCCCTGCATCGGCAGGCGGACTGTCAACCAATG